AAAGTCAGTCAGTCTGGTGTACACAACTCTCTCGAGGACCTTGGAGGCAAATGGCAGTAGCGAGATAGTTGGATGGGGAGTTGGGGGTCAAGGCTGGGCTTTTTCAGAACTGGGGTTACAGTTGCATGTTTGAAGGGTGAGGGAAATGTGCCAGAGGAAAGGGAGAAATTGAAAATTTTAGTGAGAGGAAGAGCAAGAGAGGGTGACAAAGTGCGGATGAGATATGAGGGAAAAGGATCGAGGAAACAGGTGGTGGGGAAGGAGGACCGGAGCAGAGCACCTATCTCCCTCCTTAATGTTGACATAAAACATTTCACAAAAGTTATAGCTCCTCAGTTTCAAATGGTAATACATTCAGATCAGACTACTTCAAATCAGACTAGTTTTATACCAGGGAGAGAGGCTAGAAATAGCACTCTAAGACTTTTTTTTATTACAACTCCTACTATCTACTGATGCTGAAAAGGTTTTTGACAGAGTAGGCTTTTATGTTTGCTACTCTTCAAAAAATGGGCTTTGGTGACAATATTATTACAATATTAAGATTAGAACACTATGTAGCTGCCCCAATGCAAAAATTTTAATTAATTGATAGCTTACCAATTCATAACGGAACATGACAAGGATATTTCCTATCACCATTATTTATTTTTTTCAATTCTTTATTTTTATTTTGGTTGTGCATAAAATAACATTGGGCTTGTGTAGCCCCAACGGCTGTTGCAAGCATTTCTTTGAAAAGCATTATAAACATAAACATAACATGGTATAGTGAGTAATTTCACAGCATTTATATTTATATTTGCTTTTTTATCTGGTGCAGCACTCTAGCAGCCCATGAGGGCGTAAGATTAACCAGCTGGTGTCATGTGCGGCATAAGACAGACAAAACCTCATGTGGGTTTAGGAAATAAACATTATGATATATCACTCTGGTAACTCATGTGAAGTTAAAGGTAAAGCACAGTGATAATACTCTCTGGTAACTCATGTGGGGATACGATATACACATTGGTTAGGTCGTGTTAGTAACTCTTGTGAGTTTAGGTTATGCCCAGTGGTAGCGTACGTTAGCGGCTGATACGTGGTTCCAGTAAACCCATCTATAGTACATATTAGCGACTCAAGTAGAATTAGAGTTGGCACTCTGGGGAAACATGTAGGCAGCTCTTGTTGAGATGAATTAAACACTTTGGTAGCACACGGTAGCGTCTCATGAAAAGTCAAAACAAAGTAAACACTTTAGTGGTGTGCGTTAGCCCTGCAAGTGAATTGTTTATTTGCGCAGGGCTCGCGGGCTACACTTATGGGGTAGTGGCTGGCTGCTCATTGGAACATGTTAGCAGTTTATACGGATTGCTGGTGCCTCTTTACAGGGTTGTGGCAGCCTGCACGGCCACAAGGGTAATAGCTGAAGGGTCAAAATAAGGAGAGCATATAATAAAAATGGGATAAAAGGGTTTGAGTTGAATCAGTCTCGTACAATAAAATTGTGTTTAAGTCCCGGTTGGGCCTTCGCTTAGTCCTGGCAGTCCTCTAAACTGTGGCAGGGTTATCTGTCTTATGGAGGTTGCTGTTGTGGCGCCAGTAGGCCATCACTGTGCCTGGGTTTCCTCCTCTCTCGGCGGTGCGGTTGTTTGTGGGCTGCGACTGGTGTGCTACAATGGCAGTGGGAGACAGCTGTGGTTATTGGAGCTTTTGTAAAAACTCTGCGGGGTCTTCCGCTGCGGACAGCGTCAGCACTGTGTCTCTGTGCGGCACCACTAGGGTACCCCATGCGCCCCACCTGTACTTGATTCCGTGGTCTCTGAGGAGTTTAGTGACCGGCATGAATCTGCACACCTCTTATGCGTATATTTTTCTTTCGGTGCCTGGCTTCCATTGTTGTGACTGCAGGGGTGAGTCTTTGAAGCTGCTGGGAGAGGTCTGCAACTGCAGCTCGGGTCTCTGTAAGGCTGTTATCTCTTTCCACCTCTCTGGGCTCCCAAGCGAGACCCGATGGCGCCAATTTCACTGCGCACTCCGTCCAGGTCTTTCTTCCAGACCCCGCGGAGATCAAGCAGGAGTCTTTTAATGTCTCCCTTGGTGGAGGGCGACGTGTCTGAATCGGAGTCATCTCTCCGATATATTCCGCTGGGGGTTTGTGTTATCTCAGGTCTCTCTTCATCTGGGGACATCTCCGTCTCACTGGAGCCTCGAGGCCTACCAGGCACCATCTTAGGCTGTGTAGTCTGTTGCGGCCTATCGAACAACCGTCTGATATCAGGCAGTCTGGAAGCCTCTGATGCCAGCAGTTTGCAATGTTTGGGCCCCATCTCTCTGTTGGGGGGGTTCAGGGTCGCTAGTATCCCAGTTGTAGTGTTGGGTTGCTGGTTTTCCGTGGCTTTTTGGGGTTATGTTTGCTGTGTTTAACAGGAGCTCCCTGCAAACATGTCTGCTCAGTTGCATGGCTGGCTACGCCCCCTCCTATCACCATTATTTGAGCTTACTGTAGAACCTCTCTTGGCACCGATCGGAGGAAATCAAAATGTCACTGGCTATGGCTGGAAGGGAATTCAACACAAGGTTGCGACTTAGGCTAATCTTTTGTTTTTTGTTTCTAATCCTCATGTTACCCTTCCCTGTCTGATGCTGATATTTACCACCTATGGAGACTTGTCTGGATTCAAATTAAACCTTTCCAAATGCGAGGTATTAAATGCATCAATACCCCTGAAGAATAGAAGCTTTACACACTCTTTTTCCTTTTTCCTGGTGTCATAAGTTGAAATACCTGGTAGTATAGATAACAGAGAATCCGAATAACTTAGATTACCATAATTTCCTACCCCTTTTGACTAAAATCCAAACTGATCTGAAACAGTGGCCACTGTCCCATGTATCGTGGCTTGGACGCGTCCCAGTTATTAAAATGAATATTCTCCCTTGTCTTTTATACCTATTTCAGACAATACTTCTTTGTTTAACTAAAGCATTTTTTTGTCTCCATACGAACTTTGATAATTAAATATGTTTGGAGGAATGAGAAATCATGTTTATGCTATTACGTATTATGTCTTCCTCGACATTGGGGATGATTGGCATCTGATTTCAGGAAATATCATCAAGCTGCAACACTTCAGAGAATATTGGAATGACACACCAACCCAAGACATAAACAATGGGTACAACTAGATAAGGAAGAGACTGACTTTTCTTTGCCTTCGGCAATCCAAAATACTAATATTGAATTATGTGATACCTCAGCTCTTGACAAAGGCGTGTGTAAACGCCGAAACGCGCGTCGGGCTATAAGATTGTGCCCATGCACTCTATCTGAAGAGACTACTTTGTTTCTTTTTAGTATCTGGAGATCTTCCGCTCATGGGGTATTTCGAGGTTTAATGTAACTTTTTCACCCAGGATCGGGTATATTGGGGATTTTAAAGTTAGGCTGCCTCGAAGCAGCAGTGGAGGGATTACTTTGTAGTCAGACAGACTTTCAGGTTCCTCTAGACCAGTGATGGCGAATCTATGGCACGCGTGCAACAGGTGGCACGCCAAGCCCACTCTGTGGGCATGCGGCCATAGGTCGCCGGAGGGAGGGTGCGCTCCTCCTGCGCATCCATAAGGCGGCACAAGTGGCCGCCTTACGGTGCACCGGCCCGGCGGGCGCAAAACTGGAGTGACCGGCAGGAGGTGAGTGCAAAGCGCTCCCTCCTGCCAGGCACTCTGTCTAGCGTGGCCGAGCGCACCGCGGTACAGGAACTTATGTTTCCTGTACCCGGGCGGACGGAAATTAAGTGCTCACAGAGAGAGCACTTCCTGTCCGCCGGGTACAGGAAACTGAGCTCCGCGCTCGGCCACGCTACAAGGTAGGAGACTGAGGGAGAGATGGGGCAGGAAAACTGAGGGGAGGCATGGGGAAACTGAGGAGAAATGGGAGGGGGGGATAAAACTGAGGGGAGAAGAAATGGGAGGGGGAAACCGAGGGAGAAATGGGAGGGGGGGGATAAACTGAGGGAGAAATGGGAGGGGGAACTGAGGAGAAATGGGATGGGGGATGTAAAACCGATTGGAAAGAGATGGGAGGGGGAAACCTCTCGAGGGGAGAAATGGGAGGGGGACAAAACTGAGGGAGAAATGGGAGGGGGGGGATAAAACTGAGGGAAAGATGGAGGGGGAAACTGAGGGAGAGATGGGAGGGGGAAACTGAGGGAGGTATGGGGGGGATAAAACTGAGGGAGAAATGGGAGGGGGAAAACTGAGGGAGAAATGGGAGGGGGGATAAAACTGAGGGAGAAATGGGAGGGGGAAACTGAGGGAGAAATGGGAGGGGGGAAACTGAGGGAGAGATGGGAGGGGGAAACTGAGGGAGAGATGGGGAAAGAAAACAGTGGGGAGGGAGGGCGGACGACATACACATATTACCCCACACCCCACCCCACACAAACACACATCACCCCACACAAACACACACACATCACCCCACACAAACACACACATCACCCCCCACCCACACACCCCACCCACACACACCACCCCACACACACACACCACCACCCCTGCACACACCCCACACACATCACCCCACACACACCACCCCACATCCACATCACCCCACACACACACACATCACCCTACACAAAAACACATCACCCCACACACAAACACATCACCCCACACACAAACACATACACTGTAGCCCTCAATGCAGTGTGTGTACACTCAGCAGTCTGTGTGTGTGTACGCTCAGCAGTCTGTCTGTGTACACTCAGCAGTCTGTCTGCGTACTCAGCAGTCTGTGTGTGTGTGTGTACTCAGCAGTGTGTGTGTGTGTACTCAGCAGTCTGTGTGTACTCAGCAGTCTGTGTGTGTGTGTATTTAGCATTCTGTGTGTGTGTACTCAGCCGTCTGTGTGTGTATTTAGCAGTCTGTCTGTGTGTGTGTATTTAGCAGTCTGTGTGTGTGTGTGTGTGTGTGTACTCAGCAGTCTGTGTGTGTATTTAGCAGTCTGTGTGTGTGTGTGTGTGTGTGTATTTAGCAGTCTGTGTGTACTCAGCAGTCTGGTGTGTATTCAGCAGTCTACTAAATACAGACAGACTGCTAAATACACACACACACAGAGAAACTGCCGAGCACACACACAAACTGCTTAATACACAGAGATGTTAATTAATTCAGACAACTGTAGGAGTTGTTTTTTCTAAACTTAAACCTCAGTATTCAGGTTTAATTGCCGTTTTGGCACTCGGGCTCAAAAAGGTTCGCCATCACTGCTCTAGACCTACGGATTATGTGGCTTTAAGTCTTTTACCTTCCTGTAGTATTAGGCTACACTGTGGCAGCAGTGGGGGGGTATAATGTCAGTTGATTAGGTGCTGCACTTACTATTTCCAGTGCTTAGTATTATTTGATACAGTATCCCTCTGCTGTTGGTATGTTATATCAATTTTTTATTTACAACAGTAAAGGGTAATTTGTTATCTAGACAGCCCTGCCATACAACCTACAAGGAGGAATGTCTCTAGCTAAACAGAGCCACTACTAACTTGTAGCACTGAAAGAAAGTAAAAGGCATATTTGAAGTTATACTCGCCTTCTACTGCACTCAGTACTGACCCTGTTTTGTTCTTTGTATATATTAATTCTATATATAGATACCCACTCATTAGGCAAGAGCTCTATGAGCTATTGATACATTATTGCTAACTCAATATCCCCCACACTCTGTATATAATTTGCACTTAAAGAGGGATTTCAACTTGACTGCTATATTGACTTTTGTGAGATATTCACAAGCACTATTAGCATATATATAACTACCGTGTAATATATGCGTACCCTTGATATCGATACAATACTGACATATTATATACCAAATAAAAACCCTCTCTCCCCATGATGAAACCATCTATTATCCTTTTGTCCATGCAATCATTCAGGAATTGGGTGTGAACTAAGCCATGGACTAAATTATTTATTTGATAGTCAGGATAGATCTAACCAGATTTTTAAAGGTGTGATACTTCTCACTGTATCACTTTGAATTTGCAGTGTTTTTTCACATTTTTTATTCTGTTAGTCTTTTGTATTTAATAAAGGTTTATACCATTAATATGGAATTTCTACTTTAGGAGGTTTCCCTTTAAATGAGAGCAGGCTCCACCCACTATTTAGTGAGTGGTTATCCCAATCCATTTTTTCTTTCAGTTTCCCTATACATACATTTGGGGTTATCCCCCAGGATCCCTCCTGTAACCAATAATAGGATTCTTCTTGCTGGCTTGTCCAACACCACGATTCCTTTTTCTCTCTTTTTTCGTTATTTTACGTGATAAACATTGTGTAATGTCACCGACAATTCAAACACTTCGGATTTGGTTAATGTTACGGCAGCTTAAACATATTTCCCTCAAACCGAGCCCTCTCCTTCCTTTGACACATAATCGTAAGCTAGGCCTGCCATTTGATGCCTGGGATTCTCTTGACAGGAATGTTTTTATCCCAATACAATGCGTACTGTGATCTGCAGGTCTATTGGAATTGAGATATTTAGTAGGTGATACTAAGCTATCTCCTCTTAATTCCTTCTGTTAAAGCTACATAGAGAGTTGACATGGTTTGAAACTCTATGTTTAGAGGTCAAGTAACAAGACAAAGCTATATCAATTCTTTATCCACATCTCCTGGTAGAAGATTGGGTGAAAAAATAACTTTTAAGAAAAAAGTGTGAGGAAGAAATAGAACACACTTTCAGTAATGCCCAATGGAAAAAAGTTTTGATATTACAACATAAAAGCACTATTTCTTCTAAATTTTATTAAATTAATTACAAACTTCTTTCAATGTGGTCTCGAACCTCCAAATTGCTTAATAGGATATTCCTGAATGTACCGTCTACAAGCTGAATATGTCAGAAAGGAGAAGGTACTGTGATGCATATTTGATGGAACTGTCCAAAAATAATTCCATTTTGGATTATGGTAAAATACACCATTTCTGAAATTTTAGGTGAAGTCCAACTTTTTAATGCAGATTTAGTACTTCTACATATGACCGCAATGACAATATCTATCTATAAAAAAAAAAAAATCAATTTTGAGACACTTCCTTAATGCCACTAAAATTCTAATACCTGCCCTCTGGAAACAAACATATACAACAACTAAGGAACAATGGCTTGTTGAGATAGAAGAGATTTAAACCGCAGAAGCAATTCAGGTGTCTATTTTAACACCACCAAATATTTAAATACTTGGTACCCACAGTTAGAATATTTAATGCAGGGTAATAAGATTAATGATACAGAGGTACCTCAAAATTCAGGAGGTGACGATGAGCAGACAATTGTGACATAATAATCCTTTCTTCCAACTATTTTTATAAATACTATTCAATTATCTACTTCATCTACAATTTCAATGTTTCTGTCTTTTATTTGACTTTATTTTATTTTTTTTCTTGTTCTTTTTAATTGTCTTTCAATTGACTTCCTTCCAAAATTGAATTACTTCTAAACTGACATATGACCCAAAGTCATTAACATAAACAAAACAATTAAACAAGATGTAAAGTGTGATACCAACTGAGTTATTTCCTTCTTTCGAGGAGCAAATGATTTAGTTTAGGCCTTATTTTATTTTGAGAGATACATTTACTACAGTAATTCCCTGACGTAGATTGGATAAATCAAAGAAGGATGCTATTTCTTCTGACATATATAAAAATAAAATAATTTTCTCTATGTCCCTAAGATATAAACTTACATATATTTCTGTGTTATTCATATTAACATGATAATATGCCTTGATATACTGTTTGACTTTTTGCAATCTTTAAAATATTGGAACAGGTTATTCTTATGAAATATTATATCTTGTAATACTATATTGATTAATAAAAAAATTTGATTGGGAAAAAAAGCTTCTAAAGCTGCATCCTTAAGGGGATAATTGATTCCAAAGTAGCAATCAGGTGTCTATTTTTAATAAACATGCTTTCAATTTCCTGTAAATATACTAAAAAATAAATAAAATACCCAGACCATTTTTTAAAGATATACAATGAATCTGATGAAGCATTTTTTTTTAAGCTGAAAGTTCTGTATAATATTGTTCTTACTACAAAGACTTCTTTCCTTTTCTGTTGGAAAAACATTACTTTCTTCAAGTCTCTATAGATGTAATTTTTACAGTATGGTTAAAGAATAATTCACCGGACAGCTCTTTATAAAGACCCACACACATTTGCTTGAAATTATCATCACATGAAAGCAATGTTTCTCTCATCCTCAATATTAATTTTTATTATATAGGTTTTTTTAGAACTGATATCCAAAACATGCTTTCAATTTCCTGTAAATATACTAAAAAATAAATAAAATACCCAGACCATTTTTTAAAGATATACAATGAATCTGATGAAGCATTTTTTTTTAAGCTGAAAGTTCTGTATAATATTGTTCTTACTACAAAGACTTCTTTCCTTTTCTGTTGGAAAAACATTACTTTCTTCAAGTCTCTATAGATGTAATTTTTACAGTATGGTTAAAGAATAATTCACCGGACAGCTCTTTATAAAGACCCACACACATTTGCTTGAAATTATCATCACATGAAAGCAATGTTTCTCTCATCCTCAATATTAATTTTTATTATATAGGTTTTTTTAGAACTGATATCCAAAAGTGTACTGCATGTACCATATATCTCAGTTCTTGACATTAACAATTTGACATTAATAACTCTGCACTTTTATCTATATATATTTATTAAATCTCATCTACCATTTGTCTACCCAATCCCTTTATTTATCCAAATACTCATGTACAGCTGTAGCATCCTGTTAAACAGTACACACAAATGACACACAATTAAGTAAGGTAATATAAACATGTGACAACCAAAGCCCTTGGCATGAACATTAATAAACTAAATAAACTGATTAAATAGAAATAGACCCAGGACAGAAACTTGAGGTACTCCTAACTAACTTAAAACTTTCTATTAACTACTCTCTGCGCTCAATCTTTAAGCCAATATTCGATCAAGGAAGAAATTATTTATTTGTTCATCTATATAAATTAATTCAATTTTGTACGGTAATCTTCTTTAGATAATATCCACTGCAACATCTTCATCTATTTTTCTAACCTATTCATTGAAGGCAATTTAGTTAGATTGACATATACCTCCTTTCATAAAGCCAGCAATTAACTATGAGCTATTATAGCTATTAATAATAGGCATACTTTTTAGAAAATGCACATCATCTGCATTGTGTTTTCTGGAACCTAGCGAAATCTTTACACTAACTCAATGTAGATACATTGGAATCTTCTGTAATTTCCAAGTATATATGGACTCCTAGAACATTCTCTAAATCACTCTCATGAAGTATGTAGGCTGTTTCCTGAAAATTTCCTGAAACCTTGAGAAGATATTCCACATTCAATGCATAATTCATGATACATAAACAAAAGAAACTCTAAAAACAAATTATCGATGTATAAAAGAGTGTATAAAATAAGAAAAATATATATTTTAACAATTATTAAGCAAACTATTTTGATTTTAGAAAAATGAATTTCACTTATCTAATTTTTAAAAAATATGCATTCAGTAGCCACAGACAATTTTAACTGACTAGTAAAGAAAAATAAAATTACTTACCAAGCTTCCCAATGCTAGCCACCAAAACCCACAAAGTTAAGATGTAAGGCACATGGACACTTTCCCATTCAAAAGTAACAATTTGGTAACTGGGGACACTTGAGTTGGAGCCCCCGCTATTTCTACTTTGCACCGATGGAGCGCTTGCCCCTCCATACATCACACACCATAACATAAACAAAATAGAAATTTTTAAGGTATTCTGCAGAAACATGCTGCTAGGTAGGCAAAGATTCCCAGTTTACAAAACTGCTAAAATTGTGTTAAGATTCCTAGTTTACAAAACTGCTAAAATTGTATTTAAACTGTAATCCTTAGTTTATCTGTAGTACGCTTTCTTCTTTTATCACTGTGTATACTGAATATTGGATTTTTCCTTTTCTGTAGCTTTACACGAATGCCCTTTTATTGCATTTTATATTGTAATATATTTGCTTTGGAAATGTAGGTGTGACTTCAA